ATGTTCATCTTTATGTTGTTGTTGCTGTGTTTAATAGTTACCATTGATGAAGGAGAAGGGTCTTATTGTATGGCTGATTGTACTGGATATAAACATGAACCATCACTGTATCTAAGAGTATGCTGTATCATTAGTAACTTAGGACAGACTGTTACCATCAGAGGAATTGGTAAAACAAGATATATTCTATGTCCTAAAGTACAACCAAAGTCTTGTCCAAAAGGTACTGCACTAATAGTAGAAGTGTTTAATTCTTATATCATAGATGATTGTAAGAGCTTGTTTGAGGATGGTATTACTACAAGTGGTGTTTATACTGTTAATCCTGATGGAGGGACTCCATTTGAAGTTAGTTAAAAGTAATTTATAATTATACACTATTGGATCACAGGTATACTGTGATATGGACACTGATGGTGGTGGATGGACTGTATTTCAGAGGAGACAAGATGGATCTGTTGATTTCTATAGATACTGGACTAACTATGAAAATGGATTTGGTGACCTTACTGGTGAGTTTTGGTTAGGATTAAACAAGATTCATCGTCTTACTAAAGAAGGATCAAACACACTAAGAGTGGACCTGGGAGACTTTGAGGGGAACACAAGTTATGCCAACTACTCTACATTTAATGTTAGTGATGGTAGTACTGAATATATACTAACAGTAGGAGGATACTCTGGTACTGCTGGGGATAGTCTGGGCAGCTATCATAATGGACAGAGATTCAGTACAAGAGATAATGATAATGATGAGTCAGGAGGTAACTGTGCTCAGACGTACACTGGTGCCTGGTGGTATAGAAGCTGCCATAATTCAAATCTTAATGGTCGTTATTTTAATACTTCAACTGATAATAATCAAGGAATTGTTTGGTGGCATTGGAAAAGGGCACACATTAGTCTCAAGTTCTCAGAGATGAAAACTCGTCGTAACAATTAAATACTGTCCCCCACACACATAAGTGTGTTTACATTGTGCTGATATAATATTATGTCATTTAAATATTACAGTCTGTCATACCTTGTAGTGATTATTATAATCTTTTGCTATTGTTAATTACAATAAAGGCACACCGTATTTCCTCAAATAATAGCCCGGGCGCCTATTTCTTAATGACATTTGGACATTGAAAAAAATCAAAAAAGAAAAAAACTTGGGCCAACAGCAGGATTCGAACCTGGGAGCTCACACAAGTGACTTTAGGAAACTCAAGGAAGTATCTACAATACTTGAAGGCTAGAATTGTGTATTTATAGTTCCGTTTTATTGCTAACCGGGCATTTATTTGCAGCCAGCTGTTATTTAAGGATATACAATAACTGGAAGTGAATAAAAACCAGCCAGTAATTCTAGCAATAAGTATATAATTAGTAAGCATTGTTGTTCATAGTAACACAACAAAAAGGAAACACATCCTTGCATTGTTTGGTAGCATCTTTGTTGCTTGCTAAACAACACTCATATATAAGTCTTGTTTATCACAAAAAGAACCAACAGTCTCAATTTCAGTCTTTGTTGGAGTCACGAACAGTATAGTAAAATGTCAAAGATGTTCATCTTTATGTTGTTGTTGCTGTGTTTAATAGTTACCATTGATGAAGGAGAAGGATCTTATTGTATGGCTGATTTTACTGGATATAAACATGAACCATCACTGTATCTAAGAGTATGCTGTATCATTAGTAACTTAGGCCAGACTGTTACCATCAGAGGAATTGGTAAAACAAGATATATTCTATGTCCTAAAGTACGACCAAAGTCTTGTCCAAAAGGTACTGCACTAATAGTAGAGGTGTTTAATTCTTATATTATAGATGATTGTAAGAGCTTGTTTGAGGATGGTATTACTACAAGTGGTGTTTATACTGTTAATCCTGATGGAGGGACTCCATTTGAAGTTAGTTAAAAGTAATTTATAATTATACACTATTGGATCACAGGTATACTGTGATATGGAGACTAATGGTGGTGGATGGACTGTATTTCAGAGGAGACAAGATGGATCTGTTGATTTCTATAGATACTGGACTGACTATGAGAATGGATTTGGTAACCTTACTGGTGAGTTTTGGTTAGGATTGAGCAAGATTCATCGTCTTACTAAAGAAGGATCAAACA